GCTTCGAACCGACAAGAAACAGAGGAAACCCGCGATAAGCAAAGAGCCAATCAAAAATCATTTCGTCATTTGAAAACAATAACAAACGGCCGCAATGCCGAATGGGTGAAACTGGGCCTTTAAATGAGGAATCAAAAATATGCTCTTTTACACTGCAGTATGAAACATGTTCTGTTTAAACGCTGTCTGCTAACTCAGTGCAAACGTTTTGAGTCTCATATTGAAACATTGAAACACTTTTATCAATGCATTAAAATGTTGTATTGACATCTTTTCAATCTCCATAGGCTGCGTCTCACAAAGACAGGCACATATCCAAACTAGCAATCACGTCCCTTCACGATATCATGACAGAGCTCCTGAGCAACCGCAGCGAGCTCCCTCACTTTTGGTTCCACGAGGCGCTGTTTAAACCGTTTGACGGCATCTTGTCTTCACCATCTTGCAGTGAAGACGATCAAGAACAGGTAAATAACGAGAACGACAAACCAGTAGTGTGGCTTTACAATGAAAATAGGATTGGAATCTTACCAGGGAAGCTTTTTCTGAGTCACCTAGTAGAATGAAGTGCTTAGAAGTATAGATGAATGGATGCTAGGCCATTCAGGAGACAGCCTATAACACTCCCCCCTCTCTCCCCCACCATTCCCCACCACTCCATCCCTCCACGTTTTCCCATGTTTTCCTAACAGTTCATCAGCCCCTGCTTATAATCTCTGTGAAGAGAAGCTATGTAACAGAAAAGTGTCTTGCCAATGAACATAACACAGTTACCCTTCCAGCGCTAGAGGCTGTACTATTCCACCTGGATTTCAAAGTATCCACGAATAGCAACGCAAACGTTTCTGAATTTGTGCCATATTCCTCAATTAAAAATTACTTTTTTCGACAGATACTGACAACGCTTTGCCAACTGGTAGAAACCCATTTAAGTAGCATCAAGTCTGGCTGGAGACCTGTATTCTCCGCACTGAGAAACATGCCAGTGGTTTCTCGCAAGCTTACGGACGGGGTAGAACAAGACCGTAGACCTCATCAGATACTTGACATTCTCTCGGCTTTTCTCACGAACAAGAATTCGTCGGTGTTCGCATCTGCCGCCGTGCAGTGCATCCAGACCCTTCTCATGTTCGTACGTGGCTCGGGCGTCAACGACAACTACGAAAGCAGCCGAACTGATTCCGAAAGCAACCCGAACAGTGACGTGGGAACAGTCAATGAGATGTGCCTACCGGCCTTAGAGTACCTGCTGAGCATGTCGAAAAAGTTGGCATCCATCTACATCATGCCTTCGAGTTTGGTCTTTCATGGATCACATGCTGTTCGTTTGGTGGAGCATTCTTCCGAATTTCCAGGTACCCCGAGTCCCACTTCAAGTCCCATTAAACAAAGCGAATCAACCAATCGGAAAGCAAAAACCCAAAGCCCAACTATGACGTCAGCAGCTTCGATTGCGTCAATCGATGACACGGGAGTACTGCGCGTATGGTTCCTTTTGCTGGAGGGGCTTACGAAGGTGGTCGCACAGTGTCCTTGCAAATTTCAGCCCCAAACTTTAGAGGTCTTGTTCGATATTTTGCGCTCAATTATCACCGTGCCAGGCCCTAACTTCTCTATCTACGTAGTCACCAATCTCCTGCTGCCGATGCTTGAGTCCTGGGTCGAGCGCGGTAACAGGGATGGGAGCTACTGGGAAAGTACAGCGGGTAACTTTAAGCACGCATGTGGGCTCGTAACTGAACTGGTTGTAGAAGAGCTGGGACAGTTCTTAAGCGTTCAAGGTAAGTTGGCTTTCTTTGTTTATAGACATCGCAATGATAACCAGTAATCAGATTTCATCCAAATACGCAAGGTTTCGCATGAGGACCTAGGACAGATATTGCCACGAAGCCCACTTCTAGTAACTGCTTCGACATAAATAAACAGCCTTTAAGCACAGTATTAACTAATAACAACTCAAAGTAAAGATATGAACATGGCGGAAAGAAACTAAAAGCAGTGTGAACCAAGATTCGATTATTCCTTTTGGTTTAAGGCAGACCATGAAACATGATCTTTGTTCTGTTAAGCACATTGTAGAAGTTTCACAAACTAATTTTATCTAGGTTATAGCGCTGAGATAACGCAAAACAATGGACGTGATTTCAAGTACGTCTAATGTTTCATACTGCTTCAACACTTCAGGCGCGGCAGAGTGTGTTCCTGGAGTGATCAAGCAAACCTTGGATCTGCTGTTAGAATGTGTCTCTCAACCTGTAGAAGGAATAGCCAGACTTGGATGTTCTTGTCTAAGGTAATTAAAACTACTCATTCAGTGAGCGAGGCACACGAGATAAAGTTTTCTGAGGCACTGGTCAGGTACGGTCGCAATCTTCTCTCAACTCGCTAAGCTATGTAATGACGTAACGTGATAACTGGCGAAACGCTGGCGTGACAGCTATCACGACATCAACAAGTTTTGTACTTGACACGTGACAGTGTCACTGGAGAAAAACTCTTAGTTCTTCAAGCCAAAGTCACACCAAATAACGCCTTTGCACTTTGTTTCTCTCTCTATCCAGGCACCTGTTACTCTCCGGAGGGCCTGTCTTCACAGAGGACCTATGGCTCATTGTCAGCGAGGGCCTCAGGGAGGCAGTACACACTACCCTATCAAACCTTAGGGACATGGTAGCGTGCTTCCAGCCGGGATCATTCAGTGTTTACGGCGACGAGGGCATGACGGTCAGGGTTGTCGCGCGACGTGACGTCATAACGGCCGATATGATACGACTACAGCAAGTGGCGGAGCAGGTTGGTTATCTGATGCTGAAATTATTTCTGATTATTCGAATGAATTCGAGTTCTGTCCTTAGCAAAAACATGGAACTTCAAAGTAAACCGCAACGAAGAAAATCAGTTATTTTGTGTACGTATGGACAAGAGTATCTAAGTAGTGAATCGAAAACACGCGCCACTACCATTTCGTTATTTTAGAGACCCTCCCACGACTGTAACCAAACTTGATAGCCAATTGTCCGACCAGTTGGAATTAGTTTCTTGGACATTTAGTTCCTATTAAAACACAAATTTTAATCTACACGTCAACATAAGACAATCCGTATGAAAACGCGCAGTTTTTCGACACATTTTGACCATCTGAAGGTAACGGAAAGGCAAGTCTCTACTAACACTTGAGGACAAAAACGAAATGGGAAGTGACCTGGCTGTAATTTTGCGGAGTGAATCTGTAAATTAACTTTTTTTACTTACCAAGATAGAGTTTACTCAAATCGCCTACTTCAGATCTCAGCTAGCGTTAGCCCTTTGTTGCTTCTAGTTCCTCATACCCAAATTCTAGCTACCAAGCCAGTTGTGGTCGAAGCTAGTTTTCGTTCCTCTTTCTCCACCTTTTTAGGTCTTTTTGCTGGACAGCCAAGTTGACAAGTCTTCCACTCACAAACAAGACACTCCTGGGCCTGCGAATGAAGAAGATGATCAGCGGTCCTATGTCTTCGTGTTGTCTTCGGTGGAAAACAAAGAGAAGCCAGAGAATGCCGATAGGTTAGTTAATATATAACTTCGTTTTGCTAGATACTGGGAGTAAGCATTAAAAGAGAGGAAAGGCTTTTGAGCAATAGGAAATAGAGTATTTTGTCGTTTAGTTTTATGGCCCTATTCTCCCAGAGGAGAGCTAGGGATTAGTAGTCGGTTAGTTTGTAACAGTCTCGTTCTCATTCACTCATTCCCAGGGTTCCTTTGCGCGGTTTATTGGTCAGTCTGCTATCCCATCAGCTCTTGCTACAGACTCTCGGCTCCATTCTCCTCGACAATGCAGACAGTGTCATGGCGCAGAGTTCGAACCCAGGCAGCCCAGCCTCGTCTGTGGAAAACTTTAACAACGAAGGCTCTGAGGCTAATCTCCCAGGTCTCCTTTCGTACCTGTCACCAGCTAACTTGTCAGTGTTGTTTGATTGTCTGATGGAGTCACACACTGTCGCGTACGAGTTCAATGCTAGACCTGGTCTGCGGTCATTGATACAAAAGCTGGCGAAGTTGGACGCGCCTGCGAATCTCCTGCGGCAGTCCACGACTGCGTTCACGTGCTACCTTCACACGCTGTTCCAGATTTGCAGGCACAGTGGCGAACACTTCTCCAGTTCACACATAAAGCGCATTCTGACCGGGGACCGTGTAACCAACACCCAAGAGAAAGAAGACGATGTCGTCAAAGAGGAATCAGTCAACAGCCCCGCGCGCAGCCACAATGACTTGCTCAAAGGCGATCGCAACGTGGACTGGATTGTGCGGCGACTAAATGAAGCTTGTGATCAGTTGAGCAGCGTATACGTTCGTCTTTATAATCAATACAAAAGTGAAGCGCAGGGGAACATGTCGCACGAAGTTGAGCTGGAGAGAAGTTTCTCCTTGTCGTCTACGTCATCTCCGGCTCGCGATGTTTCAAACTGGGGCAACGGGTATTCGGAAGAACCTTTGCATTCTCCTCTCGCAAGATGGAAACTCTCCGCTACGGAGAAATTCCCGCGGGATCCGAAATCGAAACACTATCAACATCTCCTGGAGGAAGATATCCGCATGATAGAGTTTGAAAGACAATTCTTAAAGAGAAAAGAAGACGAACTATTTCAGGTTAACATTTGGACAAATCTAGTTATAACCATGCTTGAACTTCTTTTGAATTTACCCACGCTGCAATTCAAGGCCGTCCTGCCAGCGGTTTTTCCCGCGGTGACATGCCTTATTTCCACTGGTACTGATACCAAAGTGAAGCAATTAGTGTGCGAGGTCGTGCGAAGAGTGGGCTCCATATATGGCATTTTATAACAATTAGCGGGGAAATCATAATTTGAGAATATTTCCTCAGAGGGTAAGAAATTCAGGAGAATTGTGAGTCGGTATGAGAGAGGATCTCGACATGATCTGAAAAATGGTTTTTAAAGATTCATTGAATTAGTGCTAAAGCTATGTTAAATTCTCCAGAATGAACTTGCAGTGGAAGCAATGAGGAGAATTACTCAACTACAAACGAGAATGGCTTGTATTAGCCTTAATTGCAAGCTATTCCCACTTTCACTATGGAAACACGAATAGATATTGTTTTATCACTTTATTTCAACTTTAGAAAACTGATGCAAACTTTTTTACATAAAACTAAGTATATGATACGAATTTTTGCAGAGCCCTCCTTTTGCTTGAGAGAAAACTCGACGAGAACATTTCGCAGCCGAGTTGACTTTCGCTCATAAAAAACGAAGGCGTGTAGCTCATTGTAAAAGTAACTTGTATTGTAATGTAGTAGTACGGCGCATGCTCACGTCACAACTTTCGGAGTGATTCACGAATACTTGCACTAGTCTGTGATTGGGTAAAGAGAATCGGAAAGTCTACGATTTCGGCGATATTTCGACGAGTTTTCCGAATTTCAGTTAAGTCTTAGTGAAATAACAGTAGTTTCTTGGAAGGCGTATACCAAGCCAACCCCTACCCGCCCAATTACGAAAGAGGAAAATCCATTTGGTGTATTAGTTAGTGTTGTTCCGACGGCCATGTTAGAAAGCAGGATCTTTAAAATTTTAAGAGGACGGGAATAGGACCACTCTCACGGGTTTTATAAACTATTAACCTGATTTAATCGTACTAATATGACGGTATAACAGGGCAAATTTGAGAGACTGTATATCGTTTCATTTCAGTAGCTCGAAGAATGTGATACCGGGATACTCGGGAATACATTTACAATGTAAAAATACCTATTATCATAATTTAAGACAGAATTATAAATTTACATTGTGAAGGGAAGGGTTTTTTAGGCAAGCTATTGCACTGTCTAAATTGAATTAAATGTAGAAAGAGAACACTATAAATATGGTTTTGTATTTGACGCATTTAACTGACCAGTTATGTAGTAGAACATCGAGAAATAAAGGTTTATTAGGTTAAACTCTATATCTGTAAACGAATCTTTTCCTTCATTATATTGATTTCGTTATTAGTTTATAGCGGAACTCTGGCGGCCCGAAGAGCCGCCAAGCGGAGCCCCATATTCATACGGGAAAGAAAAGGAGACCCAACAATGAATTTTCTCATGGTTTTCATGGCTAGCGGTATTGCTCGTGGGCGCGTACGCACGACGATGACGGCGGAGTTGCCCAACATGGCGGCCATACTCCAGCTAATAGGTCGACAGAGACATGCACCCTCAGTTTGTAGCGTAGNTAGGCTGCGTCTCACAAAGACAGGCACATATCCAAACTAGCAATCACGTCCCTTCACGATATCATGACAGAGCTCCTGAGCAACCGCAGCGAGCTCCCTCACTTTTGGTTCCACGAGGCGCTGTTTAAACCGTTTGACGGCATCTTGTCTTCACCATCTTGCAGTGAAGACGATCAAGAACAGGTAAATAACGAGAACGACAAACCAGTAGTGTGGCTTTACAATGAAAATAGGATTGGAATCTTACCAGGGAAGCTTTTTCTGAGTCACCTAGTAGAATGAAGTGCTTAGAAGTATAGATGAATGGATGCTAGGCCATTCAGGAGACAGCCTATAACACTCCCCCCTCTCTCCCCCACCATTCCCCACCACTCCATCCCTCCACGTTTTCCCATGTTTTCCTAACAGTTCATCAGCCCCTGCTTATAATCTCTGTGAAGAGAAGCTATGTAACAGAAAAGTGTCTTGCCAATGAACATAACACAGTTACCCTTCCAGCGCTAGAGGCTGTACTATTCCACCTGGATTTCAAAGTATCCACGAATAGCAACGCAAACGTTTCTGAATTTGTGCCATATTCCTCAATTAAAAATTACTTTTTTCGACAGATACTGACAACGCTTTGCCAACTGGTAGAAACCCATTTAAGTAGCATCAAGTCTGGCTGGAGACCTGTATTCTCCGCACTGAGAAACATGCCAGTGGTTTCTCGCAAGCTTACGGACGGGGTAGAACAAGACCGTAGACCTCATCAGATACTTGACATTCTCTCGGCTTTTCTCACGAACAAGAATTCGTCGGTGTTCGCATCTGCCGCCGTGCAGTGCATCCAGACCCTTCTCATGTTCGTACGTGGCTCGGGCGTCAACGACAACTACGAAAGCAGCCGAACTGATTCCGAAAGCAACCCGAACAGTGACGTGGGAACAGTCAATGAGATGTGCCTACCGGCCTTAGAGTACCTGCTGAGCATGTCGAAAAAGTTGGCATCCATCTACATCATGCCTTCGAGTTTGGTCTTTCATGGATCACATGCTGTTCGTTTGGTGGAGCATTCTTCCGAATTTCCAGGTACCCCGAGTCCCACTTCAAGTCCCATTAAACAAAGCGAATCAACCAATCGGAAAGCAAAAACCCAAAGCCCAACTATGACGTCAGCAGCTTCGATTGCGTCAATCGATGACACGGGAGTACTGCGCGTATGGTTCCTTTTGCTGGAGGGGCTTACGAAGGTGGTCGCACAGTGTCCTTGCAAATTTCAGCCCCAAACTTTAGAGGTCTTGTTCGATATTTTGCGCTCAATTATCACCGTGCCAGGCCCTAACTTCTCTATCTACGTAGTCACCAATCTCCTGCTGCCGATGCTTGAGTCCTGGGTCGAGCGCGGTAACAGGGATGGGAGCTACTGGGAAAGTACAGCGGGTAACTTTAAGCACGCATGTGGGCTCGTAACTGAACTGGTTGTAGAAGAGCTGGGACAGTTCTTAAGCGTTCAAGGTAAGTTGACTTTCTTTGTTTATAGACATCGCAATGATAACCAGTAATCAGATTTCATCCAAATACGCAAGGTTTCGCATGAGGACCTAGGACAGATATTGCCACGAAGCCCACTTCTAGTAACTGCTTCGACATAAATAAACAGCCTTTAAGCACAGTATTAACTAATAACAACTCAAAGTAAAGATATGAACATGGCGGAAAGAAACTAAAAGCAGTGTGAACCAAGATTCGATTATTCCTTTTGGTTTAAGGCAGACCATGAAACATGATCTTTGTTCTGTTAAGCACATTGTAGAAGTTTCACAAACTAATTTTATCTAGGTTATAGCGCTGAGATAACGCAAAACAATGGACGTGATTTCAAGTACGTCTAATGTTTCATACTGCTTCAACACTTCAGGCGCGGCAGAGTGTGTTCCTGGAATGATCAAGCAAACCTTGGATCTGCTGTTAGAATGTGTCTCTCAACCTGTAGAAGGAATAGCCAGACTTGGATGTTCTTGTCTAAGGTAATTAAAACTACTCATTCAGTGAGCGAGGCACACGAGATAAAGTTTTCTGAGGCACTGGTCAGGTACGGTCGCAATCTTCTCTCAACTCGCTAAGCTATGTAATGACGTAACGTGATAACTGGCGAAACGCTGGCGTGACAGCTATCACGACATCAACAAGTTTTGTACTTGACACGTGACAGTGTCACTGGAGAAAAACTCTTAGTTCTTCAAGCCAAAGTCACACCAAATAACGCCTTTGCACTTTGTTTCTCTCTCTATCCAGGCACCTGTTACTCTCCGGAGGGCCTGTCTTCACAGAGGACCTATGGCTCATTGTCAGCGAGGGCCTCAGGGAGGCAGTACACACTACCCTATCAAACCTTAGGGACATGGTAGCGTGCTTCCAGCCGGGATCATTCAGTGTTTACGGCGACGAGGGCATGACGGTCAGGGTTGTCGCGCGACGTGACGTCATAACGGCCGATATGATACGACTACAGCAAGTGGCGGAGCAGGTTGGTTATCTGATGCTGAAATTATTTCTGATTATTCGAATGAATTCGAGTTCTGTCCTTAGCAAAAACATGGAACTTCAAAGTAAACCGCAACGAAGAAAATCAGTTATTTTGTGTACGTATGGACAAGAGTATCTAAGTAGTGAATCGAAAACACGCGCCACTACCATTTCGTTATTTTAGAGACCCTCCCACGACTGTAACCAAACTTGATAGCCAATTGTCCGACCAGTTGGAATTAGTTTCTTGGACATTTAGTTCCTATTAAAACACAAATTTTAATCTACACGTCAACATAAGACAATCCGTATGAAAACGCGCAGTTTTTCGACACATTTTGACCATCTGAAGGTAACGGAAAGGCAAGTCTCTACTAACACTTGAGGACAAAAACGAAATGGGAAGTGACCTGGCTGTAATTTTGCGGAGTGAATCTGTAAATTAACTTTTTTTACTTACCAAGATAGAGTTTACTCAAATCGCCTACTTCAGATCTCAGCTAGCGTTAGCCCTTTGTTGCTTCTAGTTCCTCATACCCAAATTCTAGCTACCAAGCCAGTTGTGGTCGAAGCTAGTTTTCGTTCCTCTTTCTCCACCTTTTTAGGTCTTTTTGCTGGACAGCCAAGTTGACAAGTCTTCCACTCACAAACAAGACACTCCTGGGCCTGCGAATGAAGAAGATGATCAGCGGTCCTATGTCTTCGTGTTGTCTTCGATGGAAAACAAAGAGAAGCCAGAGAATGCCGATAGGTTAGTTAATATATAACTTCGTTTTGCTAGATACTGGGAGTAAGCATTAAAAGAGAGGAAAGGCTTTTGAGCAATAGGAAATAGAGTATTTTGTCGTTTAGTTTTATGGCCCTATTCTCCCAGAGGAGAGCTAGGGATTAGTAGTCGGTTAGTTTGTAACAGTCTCGTTCTCATTCACTCATTCCCAGGGTTCCTTTGCGCGGTTTATTGGTCAGTCTGCTATCCCATCAGCTCTTGCTACAGACTCTCGGCTCCATTCTCCTCGACAATGCAGACAGTGTCATGGCGCAGAGTTCGAACCCAGGCAGCCCAGCCTCGTCTGTGGAAAACTTTAACAACGAAGGCTCTGAGGCTAATCTCCCAGGTCTCCTTTCGTACCTGTCACCAGCTAACTTGTCAGTGTTGTTTGATTGTCTGATGGAGTCACACACTGTCGCGTACGAGTTCAATGCTAGACCTGGTCTGCGGTCATTGATACAAAAGCTGGCGAAGTTGGACGCGCCTGCGAATCTCCTGCGGCAGTCCACGACTGCGTTCACGTGCTACCTTCACACGCTGTTCCAGATTTGCAGGCACAGTGGCGAACACTTCTCCAGTTCACACATAAAGCGCATTCTGACCGGGGACCGTGTAACCAACACCCAAGAGAAAGAAGACGATGTCGTCAAAGAGGAATCAGTCAACAGCCCCGCGCGCAGCCACAATGACTTGCTCAAAGGCGATCGCAACGTGGACTGGATTGTGCGGCGACTAAATGAAGCTTGTGATCAGTTGAGCAGCGTATACGTTCGTCTTTATAATCAATACAAAAGTGAAGCGCAGGGGAACATGTCGCACGAAGTTGAGCTGGAGAGAAGTTTCTCCTTGTCGTCTACGTCATCTCCGGCTCGCGATGTTTCAAACTGGGGCAACGGGTATTCGGAAGAACCTTTGCATTCTCCTCTCGCAAGATGGAAACTCTCCGCTACGGAGAAATTCCCGCGGGATCCGAAATCGAAACACTATCAACATCTCCTGGAGGAAGATATCCGCATGATAGAGTTTGAAAGACAATTCTTAAAGAGAAAAGAAGACGAACTATTTCAGGTTAACATTTGGACAAATCTAGTTATAACCATGCTTGAACTTCTTTTGAATTTACCCACGCTGCAATTCAAGGCCGTCCTGCCAGCGGTTTTTCCCGCGGTGACATGCCTTATTTCCACTGGTACTGATACCAAAGTGAAGCAATTAGTGTGCGAGGTCGTGCGAAGAGTGGGCTCCATATATGGCATTTTATAACAATTAGCGGGGAAATCATAATTTGAGAATATTTCCTCAGAGGGTAAGAAATTCAGGAGAATTGTGAGTCGGTATGAGAGAGGATCTCGACATGATCTGAAAAATGGTTTTTAAAGATTCATTGAATTAGTGCTAAAGCTATGTTAAATTCTCCAGAATGAACTTGCAGTGGAAGCAATGAGGAGAATTACTCAACTACAAACGAGAATGGCTTGTATTAGCCTTAATTGCAAGCTATTCCCACTTTCACTATGGAAACACGAATAGATATTGTTTTATCACTTTATTTCAACTTTAGAAAACTGATGCAAACTTTTTTACATAAAACTAAGTATATGATACGAATTTTTGCAGAGCCCTCCTTTTGCTTGAGAGAAAACTCGACGAGAACATTTCGCAGCCGAGTTGACTTTCGCTCATAAAAAACGAAGGCGTGTAGCTCATTGTAAAAGTAACTTGTATTGTAATGTAGTAGTACGGCGCATGCTCACGTCACAACTTTCGGAGTGATTCACGAATACTTGCACTAGTCTGTGATTGGGTAAAGAGAATCGGAAAGTCTACGATTTCGGCGATATTTCGACGAGTTTTCCGAATTTCAGTTAAGTCTTAGTGAAATAACAGTAGTTTCTTGGAAGGCGTATACCAAGCCAACCCCTACCCGCCCAATTACGAAAGAGGAAAATCCATTTGGTGTATTAGTTAGTGTTGTTCCGACGGCCATGTTAGAAAGCAGGATCTTTAAAATTTTAAGAGGACGGGAATAGGACCACTCTCACGGGTTTTATAAACTATTAACCTGATTTAATCGTACTAATATGACGGTATAACAGGGCAAATTTGAGAGACTGTATATCGTTTCATTTCAGTAGCTCGAAGAATGTGATACCGGGATACTCGGGAATACATTTACAATGTAAAAATACCTATTATCATAATTTAAGACAGAATTATAAATTTACATTGTGAAGGGAAGGGTTTTTTAGGCAAGCTATTGCACTGTCTAAATTGAATTAAATGTAGAAAGAGAACACTATAAATATGGTTTTGTATTTGACGCATTTAACTGACCAGTTATGTAGTAGAACATCGAGAAATAAAGGTTTATTAGGTTAAACTCTATATCTGTAAACGAATCTTTTCCTTCATTATATTGATTTCGTTATTAGTTTATAGCGGAACTCTGGCGGCCCGAAGAGCCGCCAAGCGGAGCCCCATATTCATACGGGAAAGAAAAGGAGACCCAACAATGAATTTTCTCATGGTTTTCATGGCTAGCGGTATTGCTCGTGGGCGCGTACGCACGACGATGACGGCGGAGTTGCCCAACATGGCGGCCATACTCCAGCTAATAGGTCGACAGAGACATGCACCCTCAGTTTGTAGCGTAGCTCTTTGATATTGGACATCCATGTACTGGTCAATTGACATCTGTCAAAACAAGGTTTCCGCTGACTAGTATCACGTGACCATATCACAGACTCAAGTTTAGAGCTCATCAAGGTCACGTATTTTTTTAAGTTGACCGCTGACCATGTGCTCGTTTTCGATTAGATTGCGGGCTCATGTCAGGTCAGGTTAACTTGCTAGCCGGGTTGTTCGGAAGTCGGTTAACGCTAACCCAGGAACCAAAGCTGTACTGTCGAAAACCACTGTAGAAACCGATATCGTTTTAGAAACGGACGATTGTTTATCCTACTTTTTCTGACGGGAATTTTGCTATTTCGGTTTGTTTGTTCCGAAAAAAGTAAAATCCTAATCACGTAAGCTAGTGCTTACGTGTACGCTGAATTTGTTTATAATGCTTTGACGATGCACAACTGAGATCAACTGAGATCGCGGTCTTTTACGAGATCTTTCGTCGTCATGTGACGGGTTTAATTCGGGCAGCAGCCAGCCCGTTGATCCCTTCACAACTGTATTATCCCTTGACGACAACTGAAAAGATGATGGAATAAAGCTATTGTTAGGGGTGAGTGAGCGGTGAACAAAGGGTTATAAGTTTGGATGTTGAGCACATGACCGAACCATAGGATAAAAAATACATCCAACTTTAATAACAAAATCCCAATAAAATTCTTCTGGTTTCCGATAACTTTGTTTATTTCGTTTTCTTCAAAGAACTTTAACATTATTATTAACAGAACAATTCAGACAATTTTTTTTTCCAGACGAGAAAAGTGAATAATTCAAATGCGCCTTGACGGCTACCAACCATTCTTGTTCTTTCTTCGTTTTTTCTTGGGCTTTGGTCGCCATATTGGTTTCTTTGGAGCAGGGGGCAAATTGGCCGCAGTTATCCTGTCTTTGCGAGCTTGCCTGCAAAAAGACAACCAGTAAAATTAGACAGTTTGCGTAACCTGAGTAACTTTTAATACCTGTGGGTTTGCAATTGGCAATATCAATAACTGATCAAATCAAACAGCACGTGTTTAATTGCAGCTGTTGTGTCCGGGGTCACTTAAACAAAAGAGACCAATCAGATTATAGCACACGAACGATGAATCTACCAACTACCAGTCAAATTCAAAGCCTTCTGGCCTTAACTTATTTTCCCGCGCTTAGAATCGGTGGAAATTTTCATTTGCTTCGTTCGATTATTGTATTATTTGCGTTTTCTGTGATGTGCACGGTGTGGCACGTTTTTCCGGCCTAGGTCAAAATTTAGCGACACGCAACTAATTCGCTCAAAATCTCTTCTTCAAAGAAACTGGCCGTGGTTTCGTACAGTTTTCGTCGTTAATGCTCCTAAGTGTTGACCTTTATATATAGGATCATTTCCAGAAACTGGCTGATTTTTGGTGTTTTCGAAAATCACCTGCAATCTCTTTCTTTTCTTCCTCTATATATTGGAGGTCTGGGGCGAGTGTCTTTTGGAAAGCTCTAACGTCACGCTGTCGATATCGAGAGTAGACTGGGAAAGATATTAAATGGCGATTAAAACAGAAGTCCGTCAAGCAACTCACCATAGTCGTCGAATGAAGTGGACTGTACGTGTAACCAACAAGTAAATGACAAGGAGAGCAAAATTCACGACAAAAACAGCGGACATCATGTAGAAGACATCTTGCCAAGTGGAGGCAGCAATGCGAGCTCCAATATGATTCAAATGACCTGTGGGGAAAAAAGTATAAATCAGATAACTAACAGTGTAAGGCAGAAGAAACCAAAATGATAGAGGCGTATTGAGTGGGAGCGTTTTTTCAGTCTCTTCTAGTTTTACGCACGGAACTCGCCATGTTGTTTTAAAATAATTGAATTCTGCGTTTCTGCCAACTATACTTCGTTGTTAAGATCTGACAATACCAAAAAACAACACAACTGACTGCTTTTATCAACGAAAACATCTACGGTCCTTAATCTGTACGTGTAGCAGGATATCTCCTGCTTTTCTTTACTTTCCTTTTTCGTTATGTTTTTTTCACTCAAAGAGGAAATAAACGACCTGAACTTAAATGAAAAAACAAATAGCATAGTAGAAACCAGAACGGGATCAGTAATGCTCACTAGATTACTAATATTTTGGGCGATGCTCCACTAGCTACTTGTTCACAAATCAGTCGAATTATTATCACAGCGATCACCTAGGTTCTTCATTACTTACTGTCTAAATATCCATAATAGAACTTGACAACACCATCAGTTACATAGTTGCCAGGAACAAACAGTCTTCCAGTCCATGTAAGTCC